CACGACCCCTTTGGCGGTCGAACGACCCTTCACAGGGGTCGCCTAAGACCATCCTGCATATCAGATATTTACATGACGATTCATAACAGTAGCAACATTACAGTTATGAAGTAGCAATGAAAATAATTTTATGGTTGGGTCACAACATGAGGAACTGTATTTAAAGGGCCAGAAGGTTGAGAACCACTGACCTAGGGTGAGGCTTAAGTGACATTTAGACCATCAGAAATATGTAAAAAATCCCATTTCTGTGGCTTGTGCTTTCCTGATGCTCAGATTACCTTGCACAATGCCAAACTTTCAAGTGTTCAATAAATACATGTCGATAAATGGGTTGATTAATCACAAATGTTATGATAGGCCATGTGTTCTCCGGTAGATAATTAAGAGATAAAAATGTCATATATTTTTTTTCTGGACCAAGCTACTATGTTTCTAGATTTACCTTTATTTTGCAGCATTTTTTAAATTGTGTCTACTGCTAAAGCAAGCATTAATTGATTGATTTATTTGTTCACTATTTCATTCATTCTAACTGATCTAGAAAGAATATAAAATGGCACTAAAGCAAGAAATAGAGACTCTGCTGATGGGATTCAGTACTCCTAGGGAGTAAATATTATGTAAACTAACAAAAAGCATACGTCACACAGATTTATGAACAGTGATGGTTCATAACTAGGAAAGTAATAGTTATCGTTGTGGGAAGCTTAACAAGTTGAGAGACTTATAATGATTCTGGGTTCTCTTGAGCTTTGCTATCCCTCCATCAGCAGGTCAACAAACAGAGAATATGGGAGCTATAAGACTTTAAATCTCTAGGTGCCAGAAAAACCCTTGGGAACCAACTTTAGGTCCAAAATACCTCCAGACAACAGATAGAAAGTGAGACAGAAATAATTAAAGACCAACTGCCTCACTTGGTTATATAGAGATATGAAATAAGACTCTAAAATGTTACCAGGATAGCATCAGAAACTGTCTACTCAGCAGCTTGAACATTTCTAGAAATATCACTAAACACAATACTTTTAATATGTAATAACTCAACACTTAAATCATATTAAATCTATAGAATGATGGGTTTCAGAGGTGGAAGGGGCTCTATGACCATCAGTCCAACCCAGCCGGCCAGAGTGAGGACTTGACTTCTTTAAGGTCACTTAGGAGAATTAGTTGCTGAACCAGAATTCAAACTCAGGCCCCCAACCCCACCTCAGTTCTCTTTCCTTTAGATTCCTAGACACATAATATGGTTACTGAATCACTAACCTTTACTGGCATCTTTTTGTAAGACAGGCACCGGGGTGAAATAGGGATTCGTGCGATGAGAAGCTGGCAGAACCGTGAGGCTGGTGACGGTGGACCCTTTCATTAACTTCTGAACGCTCGCCTAGATGGTCAAAAATCTGTTTTCAGCAGACATTTTTGCTTTCAAAGTGAAGTTTTCTTCTTGTAAACAATAAATAAGATTATGAATAGTTTCATTACGTTTTAATAAGGTAGCAATATCAGCTCCAATTTTACTGCTCATGAGTACCCTGTGCTATTGTCTACTGTGAGGAGTTTGTGTAATTTAAAATAGTTAATTAAATCCAATTAACATGTTGTGATTTCCACTATGCAAAGTCAGTATAGTAGTTAATAAAGGAACATTAAGATTTTGTTCAATTTTAATGACTACAATATAAAAGTGCTAAATCTTGGAAGAAGAGCTTTTGAATACAACAAAATTTTGTACTAGCAAATTTCCCAGGAAATACATATTAGAGTTTTGAGGATTAAAAAAAATAACCTGGGGGAATTTAAAGATAAATACATCAGTCAACACTCAGATGAACTCTGAGTAGACTCTTACAGATCTCAGAAATGGTTAAGACATAGATCAGTTACAGAAGATGATTACTTTTCCTAAAGTCATAAAATGTTTTATTACAGTTATGAAATGTGAATTGTTCCTATTAAATGGTGTCTAGACTTAAAAGATTATATGTATTGCATATAAATCACATTTAATTGTATAACTCACTAACAATATTTTTACCTTTATTATGGGAGATTATGAATTACCTGGGCCCTCTCAGCTAGGAAGATGCAACTGTTTGATATTTCTAGACTGATTTAAATTTTCAAGTCATTTTCCAAACATTAATTAATTTGCATATCTTCTAAGGGAACCAGGTAACGATTCGCTATTTAACCAGTAAAGAACCAGGACAGAATGGTTAGTAGATTTGTTCCAGGTCACACTGTATATTAGATATACACAGATATACACACTTAAAATATACTATGTACACACTAGATATACACACTTATAATTATACAATTTTAAGATGAATCTGATTTTACATTAGTGAAATTTGCCATTGGACTTGGATGTACCGCACCTTATTGCTCATCAAGGTCATGGTGACCTTAAGGAAAAAGAAAGGGAAAATTTCACCAAGACTCATGGGAGAAAATCACGTTACAAAACAAATACCTGTTGGCTGAGAAATGTCTGTGTGAACAAGTTGGGAGGGCCCCACTGCCGGGACGTGGTACCTAAGGGAAACTATAAGAAGCTACCACCCCATGAACACCGAACCCTCTGATGCTGTTTGGTGGGGACAGTTTAAAATGACTGTAAATAGGATTTTTTTTTACAGGAGAGAGAAGACTATAAGTGCAATCTGTCTCCTTCCAGGTGAGGTGGAGGAGGAAAGGGAAGTGCTACCGGCCTGGCCGTCAGGAGAGTGAGGAGCCTTAAGCACGTGGTGTTGTCATGGACCTGGGGTCCTGCTGATGTGCCTCGGCCTCTTCCTCATCTCAGCTCTCCTCGTCACAGCCCTCCTCCAGACATAGCAGCTCCTAAGGTCTTCTCCTCATCAGCGAGGCTGAGATGACCACCCAGTGTGCTGCACTCCAGACAGGGCACATTCAGAGCCCAGGATATTCCGCACCAAAAATGGCCGGGTCTCCACTCCTCTGATTGATATGAGGGTCAGGGAGGCAAAGGTAAATCGGAGGAAGGAAGAGAGATTCAACTTAAATAAAAATTGTCAAGCACCGTGAAGATGTAAAATATGGGTTTGGCAGGTTCAGGGCACACAGCACAATTTATCTGGATTTTCCGAAAGCCTTTGACAAAGTACACCTGACAACCTGCTCCTGAAAGCTAAAGTGGCAGGATCCGACATAAAGCACCATGTAAAGTATGACACAGAGGACAGGGCAGAAGGCAGGTGACATTCGGATTCTGTCAGGCAGTCAGCACATTCATAACGCTGCTTCTTTCATTCTTCCAACGACATCAATCTCAACAATGGGAAAGCCA